TGTGTGTGTGTGTGTGTGTGTGTGTGTGTGTGTGTGTGTGTGTGTGTGTGTGTGTGTGTGTGTGTGTGTGTGTGGGGATGGGTGCGTGCGTCCGTGCGTTCGTGCGTATGCATGTACTATAGGGGTATGTGCACACTACTACTTCATCCATTGCATCTTATTTTGCACGACTAGCACTCTGTCGGAGCGCAGTAAGATTAGGCAAACTTGCGTCGAGACGTCTGAATTAGGCTATTGCAATATCAATTTCACTCATTGTCCTGCCGATAATACCGGAGAGACTCACGGAAAGCCGCTTAGTTACCACCCCTCCCTCGGCTACCAGCATGGCGAGCCATAGACTGACACCCAACATGTCCGCGACCCTAAAACACCAGGCAGCAGAAGCACGGACGGATGTATATCTAAATCACATCACTCACGACCGTCTAACGGACTAGAGTGTCTTAGACTGGCACCGAACAGGCCCAGCGGAATGCGAATACTATTCGGAAGGCGCGCAAATGGGTGGTCATCCAGGGCTCGACCAGAGAAACGTTGGTGAATAGAGGGCGACTGAAGCGCGCTGACTGGGAAACACTGGGAAAGTTTGAGCTGCGACGCCAGCTGCATTAGTTCGGACTTACGTCTCAGCTTTTGTGTGTGCGAGGGGGCTTACCGGCCAGAGACTCGTGCAAAGCTTGCTCCGTCGTCGCACGGGGCGAATCCGCGTTCACACCGTATGCGCGGCGAACGACTTTGCGGGTCTTGCCTTGCGCGACACTGCGTTCCCGACCGCAACCGAAAACCGAATTTCGACGATGTTATTCTGCAACCTCTCCCACACCAACTACACGGGAGCAGGCCTGACTGCTTAGGTCTGCAAGTAAAGCCTGTGGCGGGGCTTCACTCGGCGACGAGAAGATGCGGAGGCTGCTGCTTGAGAGCATCTGTGCATGAGTCCCGCCTGCCACGCCACGCTCATGTCCCAGTTGGAGAAATTTAATTAAGCGCAGCGCCTCGTGTTCAGGCTCGCTGTCGCCAGTGGCTTTATTCGACCACTTATCCAATTGGCCTGCGGGTAGCGGACTCTATAGACGCTCTGTAGGCCGGCAGACTGATTAGCTGTATGGCTAATGTGATTACTTAGTTTTCACTTCGCCGCGACGAGAAGTGTCGTTGGCGCCTCTTCCGTTCTCGCGACACGCAGAATATAAAGTGTCGCTCGGCGCGTATTTCATTAGTGGGCGACGGCTGGCTTCGCCTCACCGAACAATCGAACCCGAATCTGTATTCTCGCGCGCGCGCGTGAGCAATGGCATGCTGGGAACGTTACTTCATCTTACGCGGGCGTCGGCGTGATTTATGAGAGGCGCTGACGTCACGCGCCGCCATTTTGTAATGAAAATGCATCTTCTGACGAATTGGTTAATTAACTTGCTGTTGTTACATAGTAGTAAGTGTCGTCAGGGAAATAATTTACAGTTTCACTATGTGTATAGGGTTAAAAGGAAGTTGAGTGAATGTTAGGTGTCTGTGCGTCGAAATGTCAATGTTTTAATTTAGAGATAATTAGGCTACTTCCGCTAAATTAGCGTCGATTGAATTAACAGATTATTTGTGTACTTTAACTTATTTCTGGAAAATATCGAGGAAAGCGACGCGTTTAGATAGGAATTATTGTTTAACAATTTGTTGCAATGTCTCGTATTAATTTCATCTAATTAAAGCCGTTTTTGTTAATATTTTACTTACACCCAGTTGAGAGATAAAAAATGTACAGGTTTTCATTTTTCCATTAATATATTTATTTATTTATATATTTGTACTTATTTCGAAACCAGCGTAGGCTCTACTCTTCCGGGACGCAAGTCTCTGCTCATAATTATTCTATCGTCGTGTACTTTTCGTAGATAAAAAGTTATAAAGAATCGTAAATACATCTGACTATTCAAGTGAATTTTGAACAAAATTTATTTCACGGTGATGAAAAAATTCGCGTAAGGTACATAATTTAGCATATAAATTATAATGCCGTCTTGTTCCAAGCCACATACCAGATTAGAGCACATTCTGTGTTCTGCACATACCACACGCCACAAAACATTTTGTCAGAAGAGGGCAGCACCATCTAGCCTATAGCCTATTGGAGGCGAATCATATAAAAGCACTGAACAAGTGGCATCTACCGGTGTCACATGTTTCGAACTGCACTTAATCGGTCTTTTGTGCATTATTATAAAAAATCAGCCGTAACGGTGAGGTTGGTTCTAAATTTATTCACGATGATAGAGAAGAAGCCATTCGAGCGTCTGCCGAAAGACGTCACTCCAGTAAACTATAAACTAAGGTTGAAACCTGACCTCCTTGCTTTCACTTTCGACGGACATGAAATTGTGTCACTGAAAGTAAGGAAAATATCATATATCATAATATGTAGTCCTAGTACTAGTAGTACTAGTAGTCCTAGTAATACTACTAATAGTGCTGTTAGTAGTACCAAGTAGTGCTAGTAGTAGTAGTCGTTGTTTACACCCTTGGCTATCGTCCAATCTTGCACCATTAACATTAATTGTAACAATAATTAACCACGTTCACTCGCGCCGTCTCTTACTCTCGCCACCAGCATATCGCCTATCCGACCCTGCCTCGCGTGATATCGTAGTCAGCAGACCGGACAAGTCGCCCGGCGCGCTGACTGGAATAACTGGGATTCCAAGCTTGTATTCATTATCCGGCGAACGTACACAAACCGCAGCATCGTTTTACCGGCCGATAAAATCTGTATACACTTGTTAACTTTGCCCTGGGAAAACTTCGGCGAGTGCGCGCGGGGGGAAAGTCCCGCTGCGGGGGTGTTTACGCTCACGCCCACCACTGCCTGGCCGCGACGACGCAGACGCCCCCGTGACGGCCCGATACCGCCGGAGACTCCGTAACACCGTCTACTCACGGCGGCCATCGGATACGTCAACGTCTGGCCGGGTCTTCGGGGGTAAAAAGTGGCCGGATGGTGGCGCGGGACGGTGTTCGGTGACGAGGGGGAGGAGGGGATGGCCACTCACAACTACTCGTCTTCACAGAGGGACGCCGATAAACAGTGAGCGACTCGAATATCTAGCCGAGGACATGCGGTTAGGGAGCGAGTAGCCCGGCTAGGCTGCGAGACTAACGTCAATACACATCTTATGCTAGCTGTGGAGATGATTGGAAACTAAACCAACTATCCGTTTTTGTACAGGAAAAGTTTGAAACGGTTAAGGTGCGTGAGCAAGTATTATAAACACATATTTCGGGCATGCGTATCATACGCGTACACACACGCACGGGGATGCACGCACTCACCAACACACTAGCTCTAGTAACTATAGCCCGCGTACGGTTGCTGCTGCCGCCAGCGGCAGCTATCCGCGGGCTATAGTACTAGAGCTACCAACACACATGAACAAACGCGCGCATACACACGTACATACCACAGGCACTTGGAACGTCTCAATAAAAATTTAAAAAAGTAATTAAACACGAAATGTATTTACTACCAAAGTCTTAATGTTTCTCTACTCTATTTCGCCTATATTCACCTGTAAATGCCGGTCAAATGCTCATCTGCAACACACAAGTACACCGCACGCCCGCCCTGTGCGCAAACAATACTACTACTACTAGTACTACTAGTACTAGGTGCGTGCGGTGTACTTGTGTGTTGCAGATGAGAATTTGACCGGCATTTACAGGTGATTATAGGCGAAATAGAGAAGAGAAATATTAAGACTTTGGTAGTAAATACATTTCGTGTTTATTTACCTTTTTTTATTGAGACGTTCCAAGTGTCTGTGGTACATACGTGCGCACACACACACACACTCGCATGCGCCTACAAACACCACACCTAGCTCCAAGAAACGGTCATACAAACTGTATTGGCGTTAGTCTCGCAACCTGGTCGGGCTACACCACTCCGTGAAAACCACGGCGGGCGTACACCAATTAACGACATGCGTATACTAGCGTACGCACACATAGAACACATGCACGTACGCACCCACCGCGACTCTCATATTAACGAGAAACTAGGTGTACGCACCTTGCCATGCTTGTGGCACACTGTCTTGGTGTATATCTTCGCAGCAGTAGTAGTAGCAACACACACCTTTGTATCCTGATGTATATATGCGCAAATATCTACTTTCTCTCGTAATTAACAGTGCAGTCGCGGACAGAACAGAGTAGCGATGGTATCCGTTGGTCGCACGCAGCTATTAAGCGCTCTCTCGCTCTCGCGCGCTCTCGCTTTCGTCAGTAAGCTGCTCGCACGCAGGCTGTCAGCAGAGTGAGTGGCGGCTGGGCCGCTTGCCGCCGCAGCTATCGTCTGCTCCGTGCGCGCTCGACTCGCTCGTACGCACGCGCTAGCTGGCGACTGACGTGTGGGGAGCTAATTGTTAATGGGACCGGTGGTTCGCGGGGCGGCTGCCCGCCCTATAATGCCCCCGCCAAAGACTCCTTTCAACGGGGAACAAAGTCGCAGGTCGCTGATGCATAGACGCATACGGCGGGGGTTTAACAACGGAAGGCGGGACCGACGGCAAAACTGTAAAACTGTGGCGATAGCAAAAGGTAATGAGAGCGCGATAGAGAGGAAGAGGAGAGGGGCTTTTGCGCTCGCGTTAATTACTTCTGACTTTACGAGTGAGTGACTGAGTGGGTAAGTAAACGTGCAAAGTTTATATGCACCTCAACGCGCGCGAGTGTGTGTCTGTGTAGATACACGCATACGTGCGTGCGCGAGCGCTTATGAGCGCGAAAGGTGCATGCACCACTACTGTACCTTTGTTTTACCTCGCTGCGCGCATGCGCACTGTTCTCATTTTGCTCCGTTCAAACTGGACGTTTATACTGAATTTTTAAACTTCGATGTAAACTTACACACATACACACACACACACACACACACACACACACACACACACACACACACACACACACACACACA